AAAAAAGCATCAGAATAAATAAAAAGCACAGACTACAGTTCTGGCATCGTCTTTATAATCAGTGTTCATCTTTCTGTTTTAACACCAAACTTGTGTTGTTGATGTTCTTCTGCAGTTTCAAGCCAGAAACTTCATATTTTCTTTGCTGTTAAAAGCAAAATCTCAGTAGAACGATCAGATGTGTCCGTATCTGTCATACTGCTGAATATTAGACTCAATGTAAAGATCTGAAGTGAATAAATGGAGGTTTTTAGATCGTGATACTTGCTGGTTGGTGCATCGTATCGGCAGCTTCCACTGAAACGTTTAGTGTTGCAGATGCAGTTGTGGCTGTTTAAAGTAAACGTTTCTGCTGTGTTCTTCTTCCAGGTGGAGGTTTTGTACGGAGACGAGCCCTTGAAGGATTACTACACACTAATGGACATCGCCTACTTCTACGAGTGGAGACGGGTCAGTTACGTCTTTGGTGCTTTCTGACTTTGGTTGTGTTTGTTGGTCTGAGCGGGGCGTGTGCAGCGTAAGAACAGTAGCGCAGCTTTCCAGAGCAAATAAAGAAACGAGACGGACCGACGTGCGTTAGGATGGATTATCCGTCAGCAACACGTTTCTACAAGCCGATCTGAAGCCGAGACTGGTGTCAAACTAAACCTGTGACTGTCAGGAAACAACAGCTTTAATAATCACCAGTTTATTATACGGGAACTTCTGCTGTTCTCTTGATTTTATTACCTGCAAAAGTCAGTGTGGAAATAATATAATCATATAAAAGATGCTCCTTCGATTTTGAAAATATTATTATTGTTTAACTTTTGCCATAATTGAACTAAAGCTGGTATGAACTTAATGTCCCTCTTTTGTCAGCTGTTGCGTTTTAAAGCAAGTTTATTCGTACAGAACCGAGAAACACTCAAAAAACGTACAACGAACGTAAACCAAATAGAGGCCACAGCTGAAATCATTAAGAGGGACTCATGCCACGAGATTCAGGCCTCGAAAAACTAAAAGAAACTCCACTGAGCTGATGAAACCTGATCGGTCTGCACTGAAGGAAAGGTCGATGTAATAATAGTTAGAAGAAAGATTCACCAGCGTAGAGGAACAAAACGAAACTCCTTTGATTTAAAGACGAGGTTGTAATAAAGGTTATTGTCCACAAATCAGAGCTTTCTAGCTTCACCGACGAAGACATAAACGTTCTGCTGCTGTAGTTTTGATCAGATGTTTCTGGAGTAAAGCGTGTGTTTGTTGGAGGATGGAAACATGTCGGATTGTGTTTCTTGCAGCAGGATGTGATGCATGGAAATAGTTTAAATAGACGCTTCATGGATCCTTTGCAGCGGATGACTTTGTTACAGCGACTCAGAAAACCAACAGATGACTTGTAATGTGCAAAATAAACAGTAAAACATGTAGAAAAATCTGTCGTTTAAAACATATTTAATGTGCAAAATTCCTGTTCAAATCTCAGAATAACATAAAATAGAAAAATGATGTATTTGTACTTGAGTATTTCAATATTTTGCGACTTTTTTCTTCTGCTCTACCACAGTTTTGAGATAAATGTTGTGCTTTGGACTCCACTACGTTTATTTTAAAGCTTTATTACTGCTTATTTTGCACATTTAGGGGTTTTTTTGTTTGTTTTTTTGAACAATGCTGTGTGCATGTCGTAATTTACATCAGGGATTACTCAATTAACAACTCAATTATCTGTCTGAGTTACGAATGACTTCATGGATGCACTGAGAAGCGCACAATTTTTCATTTTTTTGCAGAATGTGATCAAAACAAATGGTTTGTTTGTGGCAAATTGTCAACAAGATGCATAGGTTGAAGTGATTTTAAATTAATATGACAATTTTTAGCTCAGAATTGGTGAATCTTTACAGGTTAAATTTAAAGTTAAACATGATTTATTTAGCTGCAAGGCGGCTCTGTGATTAGCATTGTTGCCTCGCAGCTAGAAGGTCGCCGGTTTGCATCCCGGTGAGGACACCCGGGATCTTTCTGTGTGGAGTCTCCATGTTCTCCCTGTGCAACGTGGGTTCTCTCCGGGTTCTTCCTCCCACACAGTCCAAAAACACGTTGAGGTTTATTGGTGATTCTAAATTGAGGGATTCTTTCTATTTTTACAATTAATAAATGCTGTAAATTTGATATTTTGTGCCTTTCAAACCCACGTACTTAATATTAAGGTGTGATTGCAGAGGAAGTGGAGCTACTGGAGTGTTTCTGTACTGCAGCAATGTTTCCTTCCATCTTCCTCTGCTGCTCCCTGATATGTTTTCAAGCATCCATCAGTGACGTTGATGCTCGGCTGCTCTGACCTTGTCCCTCGCTGTGCACAGACCGGACCCATCCCGCTGCAGTACCTGGTCAAACCCACCCGGAAGCGCCGGAGGCCGTCCCAGTCGGCCGCCCAGGGCCACTCGGACGGCGTCAACACCAGCCCGACGTCGGAGAGCGACTCCCAGAGCGACAAGGTCCACAGTCCGGCCGCCGCCCAGCCGCCCCGCTCCTCCTCCTCCTCCCAGCCCAGCCCCGCCTCCCACAGCCTCCCGCCGGCCACCCAAAGCTCCAACGGTACCACTGTGCCCAGCAACTCTCAGCGACACTCCCTCGCCTCCAAACAGGGCGCCGCTCGCAAGGTGACTGTGAACGGCACCGGCTCCGGCAAGGAGGAGGCGAGGGGCGGCGACAAAAGCGGACCTACGACCTAACGGGGGAGCTGCGGCGGCGGCGACGAGGGAGGACAGTGTTTGAAAAATTGCTCCCTCTTTTTTTTGTTTCTTCCGCGAGCTCGAAAGCCTTCGACCCTCCTGGAGGCGGATTTTACTGTTTTCTTTCAGCAGGAAAAGACTGAAGAGTGCAGCCAAATAGACACTTGTATGTATGTTTGTGTGTGCGTGTGTGTGTGTGTGTGCGTGTGCGTGTGTGTGTTTGTGTGTGTTAGACTAGAAACCAGTGCACACATACAGACTGTACAGTATGTATCAAATGTGAGCATGTGTGCATACATATGTATAAACTTATCTTTTATACAAGATATTGTAATCGTTTTGTATTGTATATGCAGTGGGTCTGTTTTCATTTCCTCGTAGCTCCGTAGACGTTTTTGTTTTTATTTGGCCTCCGTGAAAAACTTGAGACGACAAAAACGCTGAGAGGCGCCGCGGTGCGACTCGCCGCACAAGTCGGATGTAAAGAAGAAGAAGAAGAAAAAAAATCCTTGCCTTTAAAAAAAAAACAAAAAAACAACCAACGCGTTCATAACTGCTGTATAAGTGTCCAGTATAAGCAGCTCATCAGGTAACATGTACATTACTGAAAACTGTGGATGCACTTTGTCGAAGGTCCCGTCACACAAACCAACAGGAAGAAGCATTTATACAACTCTGAACTCAAGAAGCACTACCAGACTCTGTCTCTGTCTCGTGGCAGTCGAAGAACTCAAAAGGGATTTGAATATTTGGCCATGTATGTTGTAGTTCCATCGAGTTCAACATTCCTTTTGTTTTTCTTTTTCAACCAACAATGATGCTTTTTTTTTTTTTTTTTTTTTTTTTCTATCAGCCATATGTGCATGTTTTAGGTCAATAAAAATGTTTACTTACTAGGTTTTTGTTTCATCACCGGAGCCTCCTTTTTTGTGATTCTGGAAATGATTTTCCAGCTGTTGCACGCTGTGGTTGTTGCTCAAACATTTAGGAAAGAAATAATGGTGTCGTTGGTGTTTTCCTCAAATTGCTTTGCAGGAACACGAAAGAAATTAACCTTAAAAATGTAAATGTTTGGGTTACGAGCTTACAGTGTTATTTGACCTGGTAAATGTACATATTTCACATTAAACACTACTTTATATAAACTAGTTTACGTGACTGCAGCACACATCAGAGCTGAGACTTTACTGTTATTCATAATTTATATAAATATTAAGGCTAATATTAATGTCACTAATTTAGAGCTTAAGTTGACAAAAATATACATAAAAAGCAACAAATTCAAGATGTTTTTTGTATTTTTTTTTGTTTATTTTTTTATTCTAAACACTTTACTTCCACAGAGAAGTCATGAGGTCTAATCGTGTAACACTGGGTGTTTTTGTTTTGTTTGTGTTGTTTATGGTGAAATGCTTTAAATGTTGCTGCCACATGGAATGAGCTCCTTTTGTAAAGGATGGACAAGTTTATCACCTGCTGCAGGAAATAAGACATTTTAAGCAGTTTACTAACTTCACTTTTGCACGGTTGACAATAGGGTTGAAAGCTATGTTTAAGATCTGAAGTGTGCTTTTTCTGACAGATAATGTGATTCTCATCCTCATATATATAATTTTTCCTTCAAATAATGTCGAAAACTGTAAAATAACATTTACATATATTGATTTAAAGCTGAGCTTTGACTGATGCCGTCAGAAGCCACAGCGTGAATCTGTAAAAGCACAGACACTAGAGTTTAAACTCGTGTTGCAAAATGTACATGGTGTGAGTATTAAAT